AATATGATTGGTTTGCTGTAATTTTATCTATTTATGTTATTAGAAAAATATTATCCTGAGAAGCAATGTAGACCGCCAAAGGGGTCCAAGGCATGAAAAAGGTGAAGGTCCCCCATGAAGGGTTTGGAGAGGCTGGGAGGAACATGGTCAACTCTTCTGCACATCCCCTGCCTTGGGCTCACCATTTGGAGCTGGAGGAGAGGGGCTGGGATGGAGGCTGATCTCCTTAAGTTTCCCTTAAGTCATATGAGAAAAAACATGTAACCAGTTAAAAAGGAGCTAAATTAAATCACAATGGGGCATATTTTATTAAAAAATACTAAGTGTCACAGCCTTGGTTTTTAGATGGTCATGCAGTACCTGAGACCCGGTGAGCACGTGGTCTTGCAGGTGGTGGTTTCGGAGCTCTGCTATCTGGACACGTAGCAGCAGCTCAATGATAGGGTTGGTTAAGTGGGACTCAGCTCTGTTTCCCAGGAGAATGAGTCAGCCTGTACTGGGATAATAACCGCTTGTTGATCTCCCAGGGTGGAGATTAGTGAGGGGGCGAAAGCAAGATCACATCCCAGTAACCGTGATTTCTAAATGTGCTTTAAGGCTACCAGAGAGCAATGCTGCACTGGTTTTTGGAGCTATTTCTCCTGTCATAAAAGACTGGAACCGACAGAATGCTGAAATCCCAACCCAAGCATTGTTCAGAACATCTCTATTGTACTTCCAAACAGTTGCAATTCACAAGTGAATTTCACAGGAGGCCTCCAGCCGGAAGTGGTTGGGAAACCAGCGAAGGTGTTGGTAGGAAACTGTGTAAGGTCTCTTGCCAAATACACTGGGGTGAACGTGATCCAGTCCTGGGCCATGGCAAGGCTTTCTGATGACTGTTACGGGCCTGTGATACCTTTGCAAATGACTTTTCATGTGGAACTTTTAGGGATTTCATGTTCCAAGACAACTCAATCTCTTACCTAACTGAAAAGTGGGTAAAAGTTGGATTCTGAAATTCAGTTTACAATATCAAGCAAGTTTTTCTCCTTTCTTCTTTGCTTTGTTTAAATGTGGTTTTGGATGTTGCCTCTCTAAATGATCTTACAACTGGATAGAGAACCGGGTGAAGGCCGGCTTCTCAGATCTTGTCATTGTGCGTTTTGTAAGCATGCTAGCTCAGTTTGAAGTCCTGCAAATCTTTTACTTAGCATCCCAGAAGGGGAAAAGGGTGTGTGTACATTTATTTTTATATATTTTTGAATATATTCACCTACATGATCAGAAACATCAATGTCTGTTCCTTCTCAGAATTGTAGCATCGATTCTTAGGGTTCAAATGTGTTAATTCACATTTGAAAATCAGAGGAGGAAGACATGGCGAAAGAGCATAATAGTAAAACAAGTTTTCTTGGAAACATGGCTCAGCAACACTGTCCTGATTGAACGTGCAAAAATGCGTGCCCTGGGGAGGTCTGACTTTAGCCCTTGCAGAGCTTGGCTGCGCTGGCTGCTCCAGGACTGACACTCCCATCTCCTCTCCCCTCCCTGGCTCCCTGGTGAGGAACGCGCAGCCTCTTTATTTTTATTTGACTTGGAGCCAGTTGCACCGATTCCAGCAAAGAGAAAAGGGCCTGGCATGGTTTCTCTCCCTCCCTCGGAGCTGGCCTGCTGAAATGATTGATAATTCCCGGGACGACACTCCCAAGAATAAAGTCCCTTTCATTTGGCCTGATATACACTGGTTTCTCATGTGCACTCTTGTTTGAGAACTAGACAGCGCCCCATTCTTTAGCCCTGAAAGCGGGGATGTCGCTAGAGGGGGCCTCGTGCTGCTGCCTGTTAGAGATCCCAGTTTGCTTTTGGGGGATGACGTTGTGCCGCGCGGCGCTCCGGGGTTTCAGGACTGGTGGAAGCCCTTGGTTGGGCGCTCCACCCGCTCTGTCCTCAGGGGCGCAGTGCCGCGTTCCTCCTGCAATTCCCAAACAGGAGGATGTTACTTTGAAGGTTTCATGACATCAGTAGTAAGAAACGTCCTCATGGCAGGAAAATGACAGCTGAAGAGAGAGGCGCCGTCAGAACTCCCCTCGGGTACAAGTGATAAGCTCCACTGTGTTTGGCTGCCTTGACTCGGGGCTTCCCTCTGGGGGTTCCGACCAGCAGATATCTGCCAAGCTGTTGCTGTGAGGGCCAAGGAGAAGGAAATTTCCTATGATTATGGCTCTGCCTCTCCCCACCCATTTTCTTCTTCTTCTAGCCAGTTGGCTGTATTTTCTTCTGTCTTAGACCTTGACCTCCATGTTAGTGATCTTGTGAACTGGCCCCTTTTCCTGGGCCACTCCCGGGTTTCCCAAACAGCTTGTATTCTTAGCAAGAAATACTCAGTGATCTCGGGTCTTCTGCTCCTCTGTGCCTCAGTTGCACCTCCAAATGAAGGACAGTGGCTATACCTGCAGGTATGCAGAAGGCACTCATACAGTGCCAGACATAGAGGCAGTCATTCGTCCTACAGGCATTTATTGAGTGCCTACTATGTGCCAGACATCAAGAGAAGCAATCACAGGACCAGCCTCTGCCCTCATAGAGCTTCTAGCTCAGTAGAAGATTTGGGCATAAATTAATCACATGGGCTTTTTTTTTTTTCTCCAAATTGGGCCAAGGACTAGAAAGGAAAATTACAAGGAGCTTCATTGGGCTCTGACCTAATCAAAAGACATTTTTAATAACATTTTAATGGAGATCAGAAGAGGAATAAGACTGAACTAGGACAGAGAGGTGTCAGGGCCCCCACCAGCCCTGAGATGCATTTAAGCAAATAAAGAAAATGTGTCCAAACCTCAGGGCGGGTGTGGTTCCGCACTGAGAACCAGGGCTTCACGAGCAGAGGATGGGCTGGTTGTGGAGCCTCTGGCCCTTCTGCTGGGTGCCTTCAAGCAGAGAGCAAGCTGCACAGCTGTGCTGGTGCCTGTGGCTGGGGTAGGGAGACTTTGGAGACAGAGGAAAACACCTTTGCAAAGGTCGGAGGTGGGAGGGAGCAGACCCATTGGAGAGCTGAAAGGGCGGGCATGGCTGGAGTATGGAGCAGGGCAGGTGGGCGAGGGGTCCAGAAAATCCAGGGGCATCAGTTACCGTTGGGGCATGAGAACATTTTTCTCATAAATCCATTGCCAGCACCCAAGGTCCAGGGTCTCCTGAGAAACACCAGGTTCCCTCCAGAGGCCACCGATCACCAACCAGTGGGGGGAATTACTTCAGCGAACACTGACACTGACTGTGGGAAGCAGAGAGCTGTGGGACCCCCACCCACAGGACTCCAGCCAAGGAAGGATGCTCCGTCACCATCCAGGAGGCTGGAGTTAAGCATCGAGAGGTGAACACCAACAGGACCCCCCAAGAAGATACCCCATTATGGGAATAAAAATGGCCACTGAACATTAGGGAAAGGCTCCTCACAATGCTGTCGCTTTCAGGTGTAATTATCTTTACAAGGAAGCGGAAGACTCTCCTTTACCTGGTCTCTCAGGTCCTGTCCAGCTGGAAAACCCAAATCTAGCGACAACCCTGTGCTCCCTTGAAATGGTCTCCACGGCCTGGGTTCTTCCTGGCTTTGATTTCTTTGATTCTGGAATCATTTAAAAGAGCATTCACTCATTCAAACAAATACACTTTATCAAGGTGTTCTTTTCTCTCTCTCTCTCTCTCTCTCTAAGTCCATGTTAGGAGAGAAGTAAGATCCCAGATAGATTCTGGAGAACCGAGTTCTGATGCAAATGAGCTTTGCAGCCAGGTGGGCACACAGCTCCCAGGGAAGCTCTGGCTTTGGAAGTGGATGGATCTGGCTCCGGATCCTGATTAGGCCCCCTGTGCAAGCTGGGTGACCTCGCGCAGGTCAGTCAGCCTCTGCACAGTGACAGTTCCAGGTAGCTCCAGCTGTCATCAGGGAGAGCTTTGAGGCCAGGGAAGTGGGGATCCTTCTTTTTCAAAGTCATTTCTGGGGATCTTGTACCAGAGCAGCCTCCGTGTGATCCACGTCCATTCAGGGGTTTATTCCTTTGTATCCTGAAAAGATTTGTTCCTTGCTTTTCAGAGGGAGCTGTGCTTTGGCTTTGGGGAAACATGAACCAGCATTGAGACAGACTTACAAGACTTTATCAGCAGTCTGTACTTCTGTTAAACTTCCAGAGGAACAAAAAGCCTATAATCATGATTTTTCCATGTGGTATCTATGATAAAATTATTCATAATCTAAAACTCCCACGAGAACACTGTCAGCTGACCCAGCACTTGAGATATGGTATTGCTTATTAAGATGTAAATGTGGAACTTAAAAATATGCTTGAACTTGATCCACATTAACTCAAATGTATGCTAATCAGAGGTAAATTCCAATATTTTCCTTTCAGAAGAACTATTTAATTTTTCTTCAATAGAAAGTTGGAGGAAGAGCCCTTGATTATTTCTGATGTAGAATATAAAGGCTGGGTTTCCTCTGTCTCTTGTATTATTCATATAGTTGATTTTTTTTGTTTTTTTTGTACTGGGAATTGAACTCAGGGGCACTCAACCACTAAGCCACATCCCCAGCCCTATTTTCTATTTTTTTTTTTTTTTTTTTTAGAGACAGGGTCTCACTGAACTGCTTCGGGCCTCGCTGTTGCTGAGGCTGGCTTTGAATTGTGATCCTCCTGCCTCAGCCTCCCAAGCTGCTGGGATGACAGGCGTGCACCACGGTGCCCAGCGTTCATATAGTTTTATATCAACAACATGCAGGCTGCACCTTCAAAAATAGCATGCAAGATGAACAGTGATTTAGATTATGCTGCTTTAAAACCCAGATCAGATTTGAAAATCAGAAATGCTAACTCATACACACACTTTTCTGTCAAAAATTATGTTGTCGTCTTTTAAGAATGGAGATGGGTGAGGCTTTTAATCAGAGGGACCATTATATTGTCAAAGTCATTGCTGGGGCTCAAGAGCAGATTCTCACGGTCATACAACCATTTATTGCTTTTCAGCCCTCGACCACCAATCCCACTGTCCCTCCTGATGACTGACGTGGACGCTGCGATCGCCATTCAGTCCTTCTGGAGAGCCTATCTGGTAAGGTCACGTGCAATTGTGGCATTTGGCTTGATGGAGAATTTCCCATGGAGAGCCCATGGGAAAACCCTCAGAAGAATTAGAAACTGAGGCTAATAGGGTTCACATCCAGACCCCAGAAACAGGATTCTCTGTTTTTTTATAGAGTGATTTAGAATTTATACCCAAACTTATTTTGCAATTTTCATTAAAATTACCCTCCAGCTTTTCAAAGTTAAATTGACTGGCCTGTATTGCCTAAAGTAACATTGCATATACACAGAGAGGAATACATTATCATTTTAGAAAAAAAAATTAAGATAAAACTAAAAAAAAAAAGTCTGAGTCACTGATAACTCCATCATCAAAAAACAATCATGATGGGCTAGGGTTGTGGCTCAGAGGTAGAGCACTTGCCTCAAACACATGAAGCACTGGGTTCGATCCTCAGCACCACAGGAAAAAAAAAAAAAAAAGCAAAATAAAGTTACTGTGTCCATCTACAACTAAAAAATTTTTCAAAAAATTACTAAGACTGGGGATATTGCTCAGTTGGTAGAGTGCTTGCCTTGAATGCAAAAGGCCCTGGGTTCAATCCCCAGCACCAAAAATAAAAAATAGAAAATAAAAAAATTATTAACATTTTGGTTTAAAACTTTCCAAACTTTAAAAAGTTTAATATATAAAATGACATATAAATACTTGACATAGAGAAAATTACTTTTTCTTTTCTAGCTTGTCTTTCCCAACCATTTTCCTATTTCGAACTTTGAGGTTGTTTCCAGATCTACTGTTATAACAAGTGTTGCCATGAGTATCTTTGTGTAGTCACATTTAGTCACTTGGTCATTTATGTAGGAGTCCCATTTGGTCATTTACGTAGGAGGAATTCTAGAAGTGGAATTTCTAGGTCAAAAGGGGAATTTCTTTTTAAAGCTCCTGATCCCTGTTGCCATGAGGCCCTTTGGGAAGGATATCCTTTTAAAAATTGTTCCCAGAGGCATTTGAGCACATATCCCATGCTAAAAACGTACACAGCATCTTCATTTGGTGATTGGAGCTTCAGGTAGACACATGGCTTGTATCCGTGTCTGATGGTGAGATATCAGTGGAAGGAGTTTAGAGGCAAACACTGCCATGGGAACAGGACCTGTGGATGTGCAGGGAGCCAGAGGGCTCTACCCGGATGCACTCTTCAGAGGCAGGGTGTGGGGAGGAGACTGAGATGGATACACTGGCAGTTGTCCATCGAGAAGTTTGACTAACCCCAGTGAGCAACCATCAATCAACTGGCAAATGTTGTTATGTGCCTATCCGTGGTCAGTCCCTGGCCTCAGGAGCTTCCCATCTGGGGTGATGTTCTGTAGACATTCCACTCCTCGTGTGCCTGGCACATTCCTGAGAACAGGGGCTGCAGTCAAGTGAGAAGGTCAAATGTTAGACTTGCACATGAAAGGAGCCGTCTGTGCCTAACAGTTTACAAACCCCCTATTGTGCCCGGTGATTGAGACACTAGTCTTGAATGATGTAGGTTTTCAGTATTCTGTACATACTCTGTATATAAATGTGGGCTTTTTCCTTCATAACTGAGCACCAGCAGGTTAGCTTAGGGTCCAGTGATGTCCAGCCAAGGTCAACGAGCCCAGCTTTCACGTGCTTCTTGAATTCTTCGTTGTCATTTTTCTGCATTTATGAACTTATTACCTATATGAGGCTTATTATGAGTTAGTCATTTTATCTTTCTGTTTTCAATTCCTTTTCATGATAGTGACATAGTGCACTGAAAATAGCAATTTTTAGATACCATTTTTTAAAGCAGCAAAGCCCTTTCTTTGAACCAAATCATACCCAGAGGCCAGGAATGCCACAGGATGAGGGGAAATGTTCTGACCCTGTTCCCCCGTGTGGTGAGACCCCTACCTCTGTCCCTCCACATGTGGGGAGCTTTGGGGCCCGGGGGAAAACAATTTGTAAGACAGACAAATTCAGCTCATCATGCCAACCCCTGCCATATAAGAAGATGTCAGAGTGGCTCAAAATGGAGCCGTGCCTGTGGGCTGCCATCACACATAGCTAGAAATGCTCCTCAAGGGTCAAATGACGGGGCTGGGGATGTGGCTCAAGTGGTAGCACGCTCGTCTGGCATGCGAGCGGCCCGGGTTCGATCCTCAGCACCACATACCAACAAAGATGTTGTGTCCGCTGAAAACTAAAAAAATAAATAAATAAATATTAAAATTAAAAAAAAAAAAGGTACAAATGACGTTGAGGGGGTCCGTGTATACCACATGAAAGTTTGGCTGTCTAAATCCAAACCCTTCCTGTGCTAAAAATAATAACAGAAGACCCGGCACAGTGGCACATGCCTGTAATCCCAGTGGCTCGGGAGGCTGAGGCAGGAGGATCATAAGTTCAAAGCCAGCCTCAGCAACAGTGAGGCCCTCAGCAGCTCAGTGAGACCCTGTCTCTAAATAAAATACAAAAAGGGACTGGGGATGGGGCTCAGTGGTCGAGTGCCCCTGAGTTTAATCCCCAGTACCAAAAAAAAAAAAAAAAAAGAGATCCGAAGGGGAGCAGAGATCTAACCATCCCTAGAAAGGAAAGCTATCTGGTGTCTGGGAAGCCACCAGGGAAAGAGGGACCAGATCTCAGCTTTGAAGGAAAGGTGGGCACGGATGTGTCAGCCACAACCAAGAGGAATCCCAGGGAGAGGAAATACCTTGTGTGTATTGTGGATTTTTTAAATTAAAACATAGTGTTGCACATCCACATAGGAAAATATCTGAAAGGAAACAGTCACGTGACAGGGTTGGGTACCTTGGGGTGACTGAGAGAGAACTGGGGAGACCAGCCTTATATGTACTGAACACGTTTCTTCACAAAGAGAATGTGGTCTGAATTTATTTAATTAAAATTAACTTAAGCCAAGGGGTCATCTCTGTGAATAGACAAACTATTTGACAAAGTCTAACATGCTTTTATGATCAAAAGACTCCTCAAGCTGGGTGTGGGGGCACACCTTTAATCCCAGTGGCTCAGGAGACTGAGGCCACCTTCAGCAACTTAGCAGGTCCCTAAGCAACTTAGCGAGACCCTGGGTCAAAAAAAAAATTTTTTTTTTTTAAAAGGGCTGGGGATGTGGCTCAGTGGTTAAGCGCCCTGCGTTCAATCCCTGGTACCCAAACAAAACAAAACCACTCCACAAACTGGGAGGAGCAAGGGATTTCTTATACTTGATAAAGGGCATCTATGAACGCCACAGCAAACATCATATTTAATGGTCAAAGACTGCATGGTTTCCCCGTGGGTTAGGAGCAAGAGAAATATGTCCTCTCTTGTCACTTCAATTTAAGGGGATGGTGGGGGTTCTAGCCAGGAAAATTAGGCAAGAAAAGAGGCATGTAGATTGTCGAGGAAGAGGGTATGGTCTTGTATATAGAAAATCGCAAGGAATTCACTTAAAAAAAAATAAGAGCCTATTAGAAATAATAAACATGTTATCAAGGGTGCAGTATAGAAGGTCATTATATAAAAATCAGTTTTATTTAAATTCACTCCACAATGAACCATCTGAAAATGAAATGACAATTCCATGTGCCATAGCATCAAAAAATAAAATACTTAGGAATAAATTTAACTAAAAAGTGAAAGGCTGTTTATGAAAACTGCAAAATACCATTGAAAGACATTAAAGAAGGCCCAAACAAAGAGAAATTCATGCATGTTCATTGATCAGAAGAACTTGATAGTATAAAGATGGCATTTTTTTTCCAAATTGATCTACAAATTTGAAATGATTCCTATCAAAATCCCACCTGAGTTTTTTTTTTTTTTAAAGAAATTGACAAGCTCATCCTAAAATTCATAAGAAAATGCAAGGGACCCAAAATAGTCAAAAACAGTCTTAAAAAAGAAGAACAAAGTAGGACTCACACTCCTCTATTTCAAAACTTATACAAAGCTACAGCAATCACCACTGTATGGACTAGCAGAAGGATGAACACAGATCAATGGGATAGAGTGGAGAGTCCACAAGTAATCCTTATGCTGACGACCAGTTGATTTTTCAGCAAGTATGCCAAGACCACTTAATGGGAAAAGAATAATCTTTTCCACAAATGGTGCTGGGACAATTTGAATATCCGAATGCAAAAGCAGGAAGTTAGACTCCGACTTCAGACCATATACAAAAACTAATTCAAAATTAAAGACTTAAAGTGTTAAGACTATAAAATCTTAAAAAACAGGGATATAAATTTTGGAGTAAGCAACCATTTTTATAACAAAAAGAACCAGTGACAAAAAAAAATAGATAAATGAACTTCATCAAAATTAAAAACATGTGCTTCAAAGAATACCAAACGAGTGAAAGTCAACTCACAGAATGGGAAAAAATATTTGCAAACGTCACATAAAATAAAGGTCTAATTTCCATTATACATGAAGAATTCTCGCAATCCAACAATAAAAACACAAATAACCTAATGATAAAATTGACAAAATGTTTGAATAAAAACTACTCCAAAGAAGATATACAAGTGGTTAATAAGCACATGGAAAGAGGCCCAACATCTTTAGTCATGAAATGCAAATCAAAGCCACAAAACAATGAGTTTTCACTTCATACTCTAGAGCATGGTTAGAATCAAAGACAGTCAGTGTTCGGGACAACTCAGGGCACCTGGAGCCTTCCCGCGCTGCTGAGGGAAATGTCAAATGGCGTGCCGACTTGGAAGACAATGTGGCGGTTCCTCGAAGAGTTAAACAGAGTTTCTGCTCTGAGACCCAGCAATACCACTCTTACATCTATATTTAAGATAATGGAAATATCTTATTAGCCAGAGTGGTGTCACATACCTGTAACCCCACCTATTTTGGAGGTCAGGACAGGAGAATTATAATTGTGAGGCCCTGTCTCAAGAAATAAAATTTTAAAAAAGGCTGGGGGTGGGGTTTAGATTGTGGCTCAATGGTAGAGCACTTGCCCCAGATGTATGAGGCCCTGGGTTCGAGCCTCAGCA